GTCCTCTTCAGTGACAGATGAAATGTTGAAGAAATGAAGACGTTCTTGGCCCATAGTGTTCCTTAATTCATTTTTAATTCATTTCAACGTTGAAAAGGAACGTTCGCCACTGCAGTTAGTGATCATGAGAGATAAGTAAATACGCAAGGCAATTTCTAAATTTGGGAAACACTATTCTAAAGAATTATTTAATAAAAGTTTATAAAATTGCAGTTCCAGAGGCTCCTGTTTCTTGCTGTCATTACAGTAGCCACATCTGTTTTCAGCAGCTCTGCGAACTGCACTGCAATTCGCCGTTCTCCAAATCATCTTCGTAAGCACTGAACATCTTTGACGATTTTTTCAAAATCTCTTCTGTTGCAAGATATTTTATCAGTCGAAATACTTCAAAAACACTAGTAATTTTATGATATGCTTTCATACGTTTAGTTATAGCAGACAGTACGTTATCAATTATGACAACAAACACCTCAAATTCGAAACGTTGTCCAGGTGTTTGATTTTCAACATAGTCGTCGTCGCGTCGTCTGTATTAGAGCCGCTGAAATGGTCGTACTTTGTATTTAGCTTGATTCGACGTGATGTCTGTTGCTGGTATTCTTCACAGTTAGTCAAATCTTTGGCTCTTGCCTCTTATATCTGAAAATGTGGATCGCATTGCTTGGACGTAGCCATATAATGATTCATAAAGGGCGTATTCCGTATTAAGGTCTTGATCAGACGATTGTGAAATAAATATTTTTGAACAAAAATATTCCGACTTCAAAAAGTAAGCTAAAAAGCAAAAAATAGTTTTTCTTTTTAGAAATTAATACATGTTTTCACTTAGTTAAATAGAAAATAATAGTCAGTGTTCAGTGCTGTAAATCGCTGAGGATTTCCCTCGACTGTCAATGGTCTCCATCATCATTTATACTGCAGACCTTCAATATACTTACGTAATCCGTATAGGTGCAAAGTTCTCATCAATATAAATGAATTAAATCCAAGCACAATATAATTACTCCAAATAGTCAAAGAGATCTTACGACAGTCTTCATGCTCCATCATCAGATTTACTCCATAACTTCATTGTAACCCATAAAGGTGCGAAGTTTTAAAAATGAATTAAGTCCAAACACGAAGTAGTTACTGTGAACCGTTCAGGAGTTCCCTAAGCTGTCCTTCGTTCTCATCATCAGACCCCTAATGGCAGTCACGACCAATCTTGGTGCAAAGTGCTCACCAATAAGAATCATTGAAGCCCAAACACAAGATAACTACTTCAAATAATCAAAGAGATCCTTCAACTGTCTTCCGGCTCCATCATCAGGTCAAGTTCGACTATCGGCAAGCTGTAGCACTGCTCGCCCCTACAATTTTCGAAAGTTCCCCTCGGTTTCCCTAGGATTCCATCATCAGATCCTGACCTCATGAAAATGGGACCCTCTGGGGAGTATAACCTTTCATGTTCGAGACAACAAAGGATTAAAATTTTAATGATAGATTAGATAGACCATCATTTGTTCCTTTCTATTAACAACTTGTCTCTGCATTGTGCTCACATAGGGGTACAATAATGTATAAAAAATGTATTATTGATGAATTGTAAAACAAATATTTTTTTTAAAAGAGTAACGATGGAGTTTCTTGCTCGTTCTTCTCCATTCGAAACTACAATTTGGAACGAGCACCTAGCTTCACTGACGAACAGACTGACAGACTACTATTCTATTTTGACGTTTCAAAAGTACCTATTTATGGTTTATTTGGAATAAATGATTTTGATTTGATTTGATTTGATGACAAACAAAACAAGAATTATGGAAATTGGTTTATAAATGGCGGAGTAATCGGTGAATATACAAAAAAAAAACAATCAGTCGAACATAGTACCCCCTCCTTTTTTTGAAGTCGGTAAAAAGATAATTGAATGAATTGCACACAGCGCTACGTCAATCACGAAAACAGTACTTGAAGTAATGTCAAGACAACTTTTCTCACAAACAGTTCACATTTAAAGTGCTTAGTAGTTTTTTATATTGAGTCAAAGGAAAGTGTATATCCATTTCTTATTGTTTGATAGTCAATAGAATCCTAGTTTATTTGTTCGAGTTACGGCTAGCTCGATCGATGACAATATCAGGGAATTCCCCAAATGGTTTTGCAGTGTTGCCAACTTGTGTTTAGTGCAGTGCAAGTAGTACAACATATAACTTGTGTGTGGTTAGCGCTCAATTTAAAAGATGTGGTACAATTTCAAATTATTGTTGTTCATTTTGATACCAACGTTTTTCGTGATAGATATTATACCTAGAGGTGAGGCGGAAATAGCCGTGCGCGCAGTTCGCGTCGGCTCGGTTCGCCCGCCAATGGCACCAACCGAGCAGACAAATACTCGCTTTCCTTTTCTTACACATACAAAATACCGACTATATGCCTTTTTTCGTTTATTTCGTTAAGAAAAAAATCAAATTACTTGAAGTTTGGTACCTAGTAGTTTTGTAAACAAAACATTTTCTACGTAGGTCTTGCTGTTGAAGTGGTGTAATTACGAAATACCTATTTGAGCGCGGGGCCCTCCAATCCGCGGGGCCCGTAGCATTTGCTACTCTTGCTACGTGGCTAATCCGGCACTGATTCCACTGTCTTGGAAAACACAATGTGTGATACCAGTGCTTAAACCAGATAAACCAGTCAATGATGCTAACTCATATCGACCTATTTCATTATCATCCTGTCTTGGAAAAATTTTTGAGAACATGGTTAAGATTCGTCTTGATTGGTATGTGGAATCGAAGTGCATTATCCCAACTATTCAATTTGGCTTCAGAAGAGGCAGAAGTTGTGCAGACAGCTTTGTTTCTCTTATCTCAGATCTGAAAAGAGCAAGAAATAATAATGCTAGTGCAGTATGTACCTTTTTAGATGTACAGGGGGCATTTGATAATGTGCAACCTGGTATTTTGATTAAAATTCTGTCTGATTTAGGTATTCCAGGAAAATTTTGTAAATGGATATACTCTTTCTTAAATGAAAGAATACTATATGTAAAACACAATAATATTTTACATGGTCCTAGGCAAGTGTCAAAAGGAACAATGCAAGGGGCAACTTTGTCCCCATTGTTATATAATATATATACATCTCAAATTTGTAAATATGTAAATATGGATAATGTAAATATTTTGCAGTTTGCTGATGACCTTGTTGTATATAGTGTACATAATGATATTGATTTGGCAATTGCTAATATTAATAATGCTCTTAGTCAATTATATCACTACTACAACAATAAACTTCGATTAATTATCAATCCCAACAAAAGTAATGTAATGTTTATAACAAAAGATTTACCTAGCTTGTCTGTGTTATACAATGATAAAGCAATTCCTATAGTAAGCAGTCATAAATTTTTAGGTGTGCAAATTGATAATAAACTGACATTCCAAGGTCATATCAAGTACATTTTACAAAATTCTTTGAAAGGCTTAAATATCATGAGGTGTTTGGCAGGAGTCTCCTGGGGAGCTGACCCAGTTACTCTTGCTATTTTGTACAAAGCCATTGTAAGAAGCCATTTTGATTACAGTTGTCTAGCCTATATTGATTGTAATTATGTACATAGATTAGATATAGCACAAAACAAAGGTCTGAGGATAATATCTGGCGCCATGTGCTCAACTCCCATCTGTGCCATGGAAGTTGAGACAGGGGTGATGCCCCTTAGTATAAGAAGATATCTACTTGCTCAAAGATTTTCTGTAAAGCTATTTGCAGCTAATAATAATGAAGTTTTAAGAAGAATTTTACCTCAGTATCCAGTAGTTCACAATGTGTCTGGTGTGACTGGGGCTGGCCTTCACTGTCATATTATCCCAGATTTATCTCAGGTTATCCTGGAAGCACATTTTAAATTTTCGAATATAATTAAAAGTTCTCATTGGGCATGTTACTCCACAAAGTACAAGATATTGTTATTTGAAGTCTCAATTATAAATACAGTAGTTAGTAATAATGAGGAGTTATTAAACTTTATTCACCTTAACAGTCACTATTATAGACTTTATACCGATGGCAGTAAGGGTTTGTCTCATGTTCGCAGCGCTGTTTATGATCCTCAAATTCAGTTTTGTCAAAGCTTTGAGCTTAGTCTTTTATGTAGCATATTCACTGCAGAGGCTTATGCAGTTCTTGAGGCCCTGAAAAAAATTTCATCAATGCATTACACAACCTATTTAATTTTGACTGACTCTTTAAGTGTGATTAAAGCATTAGAGAATATTAATTTTCATTTCAAAACAAATTATCTTTTAATTAAGATTCGAGAAGTTTTATTTAATTTAAAAAATAAAGGCATTTCAGTTTCTTTTATGTGGATCCCTTCACATAAAGGTATTACTGGCAATGAAATCGCTGATAGAGCTGCATTTGATGGGATAAATTGTATAAATGTATCTAATATTGTAAAGGTACCTTTTACGGACTGCTATGCACTGATTAGAGAAAACATAAAACATGTATGGAAAGACTTCTGGAAGAAAGACCAAGAAGAAAAAGGAAAGTGGTACGGTACTATTCAATCGGACTTACCTGTGAGACCGTGGTATGACCAAAAGCAATACAAGTACGCCAGACGAGATTTTATATCTACTATATGCAGGCTTCGATTCGGACATCATAGTGATAGAACACCCGCACACCTTGCAAGACTCAAACTTGATGCAAATGACAAGTGCTTGAATTGTAACGTCTTATGTGACATTAGTCACATAGTGTTGTATGCAGTGACTACAACATGCAAAGGTTGATTTTAGCCAGTGAACTAAGTGAAATTGTAGATAATGTTTCCTCCCGCCGCCTAGAAGATCTACTACGTGATCCAAAGTGTTTAGTGCCGTTATACAATTTCATTAAAAATACTCTGGAAAGTATATAATAACATAAAACCGAGTAAATTAAAAGACTTGGCTTAAAGGACTCGTATCCAGGCCATAAACTCCAAAAAAAAAAAAAAAAAATGTCACTGACAGTGTCAGTCTCACACCTATTTTATTTTCATATTGTTTATAGTTTTTGTTTTAAGATATTTGAGGTTACTAACTAAACAAATTTGAGAAATATTGTTAGATATGGGTCTTACAAAGCAGTATTTACGTTATGCACCCAGTGGAACCTTTAATGTGATCGCTAGCGCTGATTGTAATAGCTCACATGTGTCATTAAATGGTGTAAGTGGACGATACATTGCTGTCGGAGCATGTGAACATGTTGTGATTTGGGATATGAGACTGGGGGAAAAGGTAAGACTAGATTTGCTTATAATCATTGTTCTAACGTTTTGTATTTTCTATTACTAGCTGGTTTAGCGAATATAATAGCTGCTACATCGCCTGAAGTTTCATTTTTATTGATGCGTGGTATTATTTTTCCTTAGGCTCAAGTTCTTCCCGGGGACAACATAGTAGTATCCCAAATTGCAGCTAGTCCCAGTGGTAACCACATAGCAGTAGGCTATGTAGATGGGAATATAAATATATACGAGCTCATTAACAATGAAATTGTGTGCATGTTTGCTGGTCACAAGTCTGCTGTCACATGCTTGCAGTATGATGAACAGGGACACCGCTTGGTGTCTGGGGCTAAGGTAGGTTATGTCTTATTTTAAAAATCAATAAAATTTGTCTAGCATGCACAATTTAAATACTCTTAATAAAATAGTTTCATAGAACTTCAGGACATGGTCTTGAGTGTCCTTAATTCTAAATAATATAATTTGCATCTTTAGCTAAACTCAATATGTAGCATTTTCAAAAAGTATTTTAACTTTTTAATTTTAGGATACAGAGGTGATTTTATGGGATGTTGTAGCAGAAACTGGTAAAGCACGATTTAGTGGCCACAAGGGACCTATAACCAGTGTGCTGTTTGTAAATAGCAAGAATTGTGTCATCAGTACATCTAAGGATACATTCACGAAATTTTGGGACATTGAAACCAAACATTGTTTCAAAACCCTGGGAGGACATCAAATGGAAGTATGTATGGTCTACATACATATAGATATGTAAATAATTTCAATATTTCTGTATATTCATCTAGGGAGGAGGAGAAAGGTACATAAATGCATATTCTAGTTGCATTCTCTGTTCTGAATAAAATGTTATAAAAATAACAACAGGATTCAGAACAGAGAATGCACAAAGAGTATGCCAAAAAAACCTATAGTCTATTAAACTAACTATAAAATTAAAAGTAAATTATTATTTACTCTAAAATTTTAAATTATGAAATTTTCTAGATATGGTCTGCTGTACTCTTAAAAGAGGAAAGGTACTTAGTGACTGGCAGCATGGATCAGGAGTTGAGGGTGTGGAAACTGAACTGGACAACTGATGTGAAAGATGAGGAAAAGCTAGCCAGACAACTTGAAATTGTAAAATTAGAAGAAAATGATAGTATTGAAGATTCATCGGTAAGAATTGTTAAAGTGCAATAGATTTCTTTTATTTTTTACATGTTTCATTCATGAGTTGAAGTTTATAGTTGTATTAAGTATACTGGTTTCGATTCCATCTGCTAATGAATGAATAGGTTATTACAAACTTGCGATGTTTATTTGTAATTGAGTATGTATATTGTGTACAATAATATGTTTATGATACAGGTGTTACAATGTCACCAAGTAGGTACTCTAGTGAGAGGAGGGCGAGGTCGCGTGGTAGGCCTATCGACAGACCCTGGCCAGAGTGTGTTAGCGTGCCACGGTACGGATGCACTGCTCGAACTGTTCGCATTTTGCTCCGACGATGAAGCCAGACTCAGAATGGATAAACGAGTCAAGAAACAAAGAAAAAAGTTGGCGTATGTACTGTTTTCAACAATCAATAATTGTTAGTGACTTGTCAATATTTTGGGCCTGTTAAACTGTACAGAAATTTTCAGATAATACCTATTTAAAAAAAACACTTCAATAAAAATGTCTAGTTGGCAATATGAGTTTACTTAAGTATTATAAACAATTTCTGTGCAATTATTTATGAATGAGTCTGATTATAAATCCTACAAAAATATTTATTTCAATAACAGGAAACTTAAAGAAGCTGGTGAACTAGAAACTGAAACTACAGATGTGCCAGAACTGCTCACACTATCAGACGAAGTGAGACGTCTGTCCAGCATCAAGTTAGATGCTAAGTTGAAGTCTACCACTCTTCTACTAGGCACTACTGGGGAACTCCGTGTTGGAGTCACTCTAGCCAACAATACTGTGGAACTACACAGTTTAAGGATAACTGAAGGACACCAAGGTGAGAATTTTGAAAATCCAACCTACTCCATCCATTTGCTACCATCCTGAAATGGCCCCACTCCCCTCTGTCAACAGCCGTAACATACTTAAATACGAGTGACCTTACCTTTCAAAAAAGAAAATGTCATATCAAGCTTTGATAATGTTATTCACTCTAGTCACTCAATCCCTAGTCAACCAGATTCCTTTCGCGCACAATCTTCTTGATAGCATAATCTATTGTCTTTATACATATTTATTGATAGTAATATGAATTTTGTATTACGGTAGTTTCCAACTAGTCAAATTCGATACTTTTATCCAAATGTCAAAAACGATACTTTTCTATGAAATTTGTATGAAAAACTGAGTTATAACGTCATGGTACCATGCGTCAAATAACGTCTTATTTCTTAAAAAATTGCTTAAAAATATCTAAAATTTAGTTTATCAATCGATCGATGATATTTGATCATATAGTTATTTTTCGATATTTCATTGTATAGAAACGTTGACCTAGGTAACTAACCAATTCTAATATATTTCAATACAATTCGAGTTATAACAACTGTCCGGAAGGATGTTTATGTATACATAAGTTAGTAGGTACCTAAAGTTGAAGGCAAGGCTGTGCTGACCAGTAAAATTAAAAAGAAAATACATTTCCCCACATTAAGGTCTTCTCCTGTGTCGTGCATTTACAAACATACAAATTCACATGCTCAATGAGGATTGACAATTAGATTTTTGGAGTATTTAATAATACTGAATGTGTTTTCTTTTGCAGTACAATGTCTAAAACAGATTACCCAGCCTGGCCATCAGAAGGAACCGCGCTGCGTAGCTATTAGTTCAGATAATTTAGCGATAATCTCAGCGTCTGCGGATTCTGTTAAACTTTGGAGTAGGTAAGTTGAACACGCCAAATATGTAAAATTTATTTTCATTAATTAAAAAATGTTTTTAATTAAACGAGCGTTCGTATTACCTGATGATAAACAATCGACTTTGCCCATGGACACCCGCAACATCAAATGGCTTTTTGGGGATAGGGGTTTCGGAGATTTAAGGATTAGGAAGAGATGCGCGGGAGGGGAGGGATTGGGCCTCCAGTAAGCTCACTCACTTGGCGAAACATAACACTATAATAATTGTGAAACATATTTTAGAAGTAACGGTATTTTGTAACGCTATTCATCGATATAAGCCCTAAAAGTGGCTAGAAAGTGATGTAGATCGACAAACTATTGTTTAAATTAGTTGAGAAACTCAAATGACTTATTGTGTTTGTCTGTAACGTAGATCAACACAAGCCTGCCTCCGCACTATCCCAGTGCCGTGTGGTCGCCCCTGCAGTATATGTTTCGCGCCGGGCGACAGACACGCGCTGGTGGGCTGTGCGGACGGGTCCCTACTGCTCATTGACGTCGGTGCCGGGAAAGTTCTAGAACAAGTGCCCGCGCATACCGCCGAGTGCTCCACTGTTGGACTTACTCCTGATATGGTATGACAATTATTCATTGTACTAGCTTGGGCCCGCTTTTGTTGATAAAAAGTAGCGTATGTCCTATTCCGGAGTGTGTCCTGTACGTGTGCCAAATTTCATCCAGATACGTCTAGCCGTTTTGGCGTGATTGAGTAACAAACATCCAAACATTGTAACTTTCGCATTTATAATAAATATTAGTAAGATGTAAGAAAAGTTCGACATTAAACTTATCGGTTTTTAGTTGATTTTACTGCTAACGATGAACGTATACGGTAATCCTAGCATTTTAGGTGTTAAAGAAGTGAAAAATTTTAACGTCCTTCTTTTTTTCCCAGCGAGGTTGTTATTCTGGCGGCGGCGATAAGACAGTCAAACTGTGGCAGTTCGAACTTATTCCCGATCCCACAGGAGAATCAAAAGCAAAGGTATGATATACTTATTTATCCATCTGGTCCTGACCCTTAACTTAATCGCATCGCAATAATCTACTTCTTATGGAGCTTACAAGCGTAAAATATTGTCATTACCTAAATCAGCAAGCACTCGACCGGAGCGTTACCACATCCTAACAGAACAAAAATTCCTCAATCCTCTAACCCCCTAAAAGGCCTGGAGCGAGCTATCAATTTCTGTGTTGTGTTTGGCTCATTCATCAAGGTTAAGGGTATGATTCTCGCTTCGAATGCGTGAGATCTCCATAGGTGTCCTCCATTACTTACCTAGTGATACAAAAGCTCATTTGCTGCACCATCCCAAAAAAACTTATCATTGTATATTTCGTCCGTGTGGTATGTTGAAAAAAAGTAGCCTGTGTCCTACTCGGTGTATCCTATGCCTGTGCCAAATTCCATCCAGATCCGTCCTGCCGTTTTGGCGCGATTGAGTAACAAACATCCAAACATTGTACCTTGCCTATTTATAATATTAGTATGATTATGTATTTTAGGTGCTCTCGCTCCTTCACACAAGGACCCTAGAGCTGGAAGAGTCGGTGTGTGCCGTGAAAATAAGCCCCAACAACAAATTCAGTGCAGTAGCATTGTTGGACTCTACCGTCAAAATCTTCTTCCTTGACACTTTTAAGGTTGGTCACTTGATTATATACTTTATTTTGTAATGAGTAAAGGCTAATTCTTTAAGTAATTGTTTAATAAAAAAAAATATTTTAACATTATAAAGCTGAAGAGTTTTTTAAATTAGATCTCGACACTTGTTTAACCGATTTTGACTTTTGTTATGTTGGTGGAATCACAATAGGCGGCTGCAGTATGTATAATTTGGTTTTGTAATAACTTTTAATTGACAACGCCTACAGAATAGAATTTAAAATCGGTTGAATAGACAAAATTTATAGACGTACGCGTATAGACTACTTATAGCTTAAAAATAGTATCAAAAATTAATAATAAATAAATTTCTTTCACAGTTCTACCTATCTCTGTATGGGCACAAGCTACCAGTTCTTTGTCTGGACATCAGCTACGATTCCAACATCATCGCAACTGGGTCCGCTGACCGTAATGTGAAGATTTGGGGCATGGACTTCGGAGACTGTCACAAGTCCATCTTTGCACACAATGATTCCGTGACCTCGCTACAGTTCGTGCCATCTACACATTACTTTTTCACAGCGTCGAAGGATGGGAAAGTGAAACAGTGGGATGCTGATACCTATGATAATATTATAACGTTACATGTGAGTATTATTTTGAAGGTTCATTGATATGGCTTTGGTAATACACAGAGCATTTGATTAATATTAGTTTTTGGGATTTTGTATTTATATACGGCGGAACATATTGGACTGTGTGTTCACTTAAAACTTTGTAATGAAAATATTGGCAAATTTTTTTTTTTCACATCCACGTTATGTATATAAAAAATAGATGAAGACAGCATTTTCCATCTGACTACTCTGAGGACAAAAGCTGAATCAGACTTATTCACTATGTGCATAGATTGTGTTCTTTTTGAAGATTGAAAATCATGACGTTTATCAAAGGGTATCTACAGCTAGCCGGTGCTGAATCTAGAATTACCTTTTCGACCTTTACCGGGAAAAGAGAATGGGGGACACAAATGTACAGGCGACATTTTATTTGTATATAACTAACTGCATGACGTAGGTTTACGATAGTTCAGTATGTCGTAAAACATCGCTGATGATGATCATTTTCGGACATTTTATATAAGTTATTCTCGCGGGTTTCAACCGCTGCTCGTTTCCATTTGATCGTAGCGTGATGTTTTATAAGCAATAGCACTCGGGAGCATTGTAGCTATGTATCATTGAAAGAATTTTGGCAATCCGACCAGCGGTTCCAAAGTATACATATAAATTTACAAATTTGACCTCTGTATAGTATTAGTATAGATGTTTGAGTAAAGTCCCCGTGGCCGGCAGGGGCACGCGGGTTCGTGCGCGGGTGTGTCGGTGGGCGCGGGCGGGCTGGTGGCGGCGTCGTGCGGCGCGGACGGCGCGCTGCGACTCTACGCGCGCACTGACGAGCCGCTCGTGCTCGGCGACACTGACGAACAGGACGAGGGACTCGCCACCGGGGAACAACACGTACGCACACATCCATATTTTGTTATTGTCAGGGAAACATCATCAAATGACTTCTCGCGCCCAGGGTAAGGCGAGAGAAAGTGTCAGACTCTTACACACGGTTTCTGAAAAACTTGTCAACGCTAAAATTAATTAATCTCCTGTTAAATCTCTTGTCAAGTCATCTGATGGATAATTCAGTCAACCAATCAGACCATTTCCATTGATTCCAACCATTGATAGGCCTTTCGGAAACCGGTGGTTACTAACTAAGAACATCCCTGTTCCTTGTCCTGCTCTGGGCCGAGGCCGCAGTGCCTTATTGCGCTTGCCCCACAACCTCGGCTGAACATCAGCCCTATAGAGCCCCGTCTGTGGTGGTCCATTGGGTTTTTGACCACATAATAAATAGGAAATGTAATAATTTAAAAACAATATTGTATTGAGTACATGAAGCGTAAAAAGTTCGCTCCCTCGTTTGTTTCCATTGTAACATTTAGTTACAATGCCTACTTTGAGAAGAAGTACGAAATCATCCTCTCCATCACTCATACATCTTCTTCCTTAAACGGTTCTTTGATACCGTTGGTAATGGAGTGAACACAATATAGTCTTCTGTTTTTATACGCCTCTATCACAATTCCTCTTACCTTAAGTCATTTTATAAAAAAAACTACAACTTTTTCATTCATTTAATATCTGCACACAATCTCCATTTTATTTTTTAGTGCCATCTCTAACTCAGTAAGAATATCGGAATAATAAGTTAAAATGAATCCTATGTTTTTTGTAGTAAAAGTTATATTAGATTGTATTTTATATCAGCCGAATGGATTAAGTTTAACTACATTATTGTTTAATTTATCTACAGGCACCAGTGCCTGGTTTGCCCGGTCTCAATATGCCAACGAAGAAAACTATTGGAGCGGAAAAAGCGGTAAGTAAAACTCTAATAAATAACAATAATATTATTTTAGTTATAATTCCTGAAGAAGATTTGTTAATGTGTAACAGTTTTGCGTATTTAATATGATACAAAGTAAATGTATAAATTGTAGTAAAATACTTTTTGTCACCTTATCGTTTTCTATCCAACAAGCATTGATATTATTGCCATTGGCCAGCAGGGAATCATCACAGGCTGTTAATAAAACAATGTTTAATATAATTATTTATTTATTAATACAAATAATGGCTGGCTTATGTCTTAATCATACTCTCCCAGTTGTTCTTTAAGTAATGCAGAGATGAAAAATGTGAATAAGATAAATAACGTAAATAAGCTCAATTTTATAAATTTATCTTAACTAAATAGAATAAATAACACAATATAATAATGTATTTTATTATTTATTTTATACATATTAGGAAAATTATTTATTTATTTAAAACTTTATGCACAACCAAAATTGAACACAAATAAGGCGGACTTAATGCAATGAGCATTCTCTTCCAGTCTACCTTTAGGTACCTTATATTTCATTATATATATTGTTAGGTATAGGTAATTTTGTATAAATAAACAAAAAATCATTGTTAGAAGTTCTCCCAAATGTGTATGTAGGTGACCTGAAGTATGGGCTCATAGCATCCACGTTAAGGTGTTTTTAATAGTTTATTGTATATTTTATAGGCGGACTCAATAATGGAGTGTCTGTCAGTGGGTGCGGAATACAAGCGCGAGCTAGCGGAGGCGCGCGGCCAGTACGTGCAGCCCCCACTACTCATGGCGGCCTACAACTGCACCACTCCTGAACACTTCCTCGTCGAAACACTCAAGAGGATAAGGTCTAGGTACATATCGAAGTAAAAATTATTCTTATTGAATAAAAACGAAGATGATGACGGCCTGTATAAAATCAAAAACTGAAATAGTCAGTTAGTTATATAATCTATACCAATACTAATATACTATATATAATATTATTATAAAGCTGAAAAATTTGTTTGTTTGTTTGAACGCGCTAATCGCCAGGAACTTTTTTATTTGTTTTTATTTGTCATTGTTCGGCAAGCGAGCAGACGAATTACCTGGTATTAAGCAATCAGCGCTGCCCATGGACACTCGCAATACCAAAGGAGTTATAACAAGTGCGTTGTGTGGATTTGAGGATTGAGGATAAGGGTAGGACGGATTGGGCCTCCGGTAACCTCAATCACACGGCGAAACACAATGTTAGAGAAGCTTCAAGCTGGTTTTCTGTGAGGCCGTGGTACGTGTATAATTTATCTATACTAATATTATAAAGAGGTAAAATTTGTAAGTTTGTATGTAGGGTGTACAATGTTCCTGAGTGCTATAGGCTATAAAACATCACGCTATGATTAAATGGAGCCAAGCAGCGAATGAAACCGCGCCAGAGTAGCTACTTATTTATAATTTAAATATAAAAAATGTCTTTTAATACTTATAAAAATTCTGTTATTACTAACAGTGATTTGGAAGAGGCTCTCCTGCTGATTCCGTTCAGCGTTTCGTGCGATATAATGAAGATGTTACCGAAGCTACTGGACCGCGGCGACCACACAGAGCTGTTCTGTCGCCTCGCAGTGTTCCTGCTGAAGATCCACCACGCGCCCATCGTGGCCAACCAGGCGCTACTCAAGCACATGATACAAATACAAGCTAAAGCCAACATGCGGCTCAACGAATTACGAGTAAGCATTTGTTTATTATAAAATTTCTTATATTTTGTACTAGCTTCCGGCCGCGGCTTCACCTGCGTATGGTAATAAAAAGTAGCTTTGTATGTCCTACTCCGGAGTGCATCTCTTATGCCTGTGCCAAATTCCATCCAGATCCGTCCAGCCGTTTTGGCGCAATTGTGTTACAAACATCCAAACATCGTAACTTTCGCATTTTTAGTATTAGTAAGATATTCAAGAGTGGGGGAGTCATGTTTCACATAGCGAGCGTTCTCCTTCTCTCTGACCTCCATGTAGGTAAAGTAAAGAACCAATATTGTTTGGCAGGACATGGTGGGCTACAACGTACACGCGCTGCACTGGTTGCGGCGCGAGGCCGAGGCGGCCGACAGCGAGCTACTGTTCCGGGACGCATTCACCGAAAACCGCAAGCGGGACAAGCGGAGACGCGCCCGACAGGCCGTCAAACGGCCCATTGTTACTGTTACCTAGTTCTAACATTAATAAATATTTTATTATCATATTCATCGTTCTATTATTTTTTACCTATCTACCCATGTACTTGGCATGTAATTTGGTAGTATCCAACTAGTCAAACTCAATACTTTTACTATTAAAAAGTGCGTAACGGATAGAATGTCGTCTGCTCAGGGCCGTATAAAAAAAAGTATCAGATCGTTAATTAATTGTCAAAACTAAATTATCGGTTCAGAAATATTGATTTTCCTGATAAACTTAGTTTATGAGAGTAAATTTATAAACGAGAGGAATAGATTCGGAAATATTCCATTTCAGTCACTATTTAGTACTTGTCATAACGTTGCAACACTGAAATTGTCAAATCTGGAATCTAATTAAAATTCCGAGTATAGTACACAAATTTAAAAGTCCAAGCTTTTCATACAAATAAAGCAATTATAGCGTCAATCTTGAATTAATGAAAGCGCTATATTATTTTTTATTGCGTAGAAAAATTAAACCTATTTAGTTTTGCCCAATTAAAAGAAGGTAAAATAGGTTGAAAGGAAGGAATAAAAACACAATATTAGCTGCTATAATTTATTTGTAAAAAAATATTCTACTCACTACATAGCCAATATATCAGTTAAAACTTCAATAATTTAAGTATCCATCCCTGCGTAAGTCACATTATTTATCATCTATACAACAATAACTAATGTTTCACAATGAGTATTCCGGCCACGTGTTCATACTAAACAATCTCAAACGGATAATTTATGCTGAAACTTACTATAAATACGTACAGTTATGTAATTTGACAACAACAATAACAAATGGTCCTTCAAAGCTTTCTATATTGGAAATTATTGCTTCATGTTTATATCATTATATTATAAATACGTCTTTACGAAGAAAATTATCAGCAGAATAATATTACATCTGCCACATCAAGTTGAAATTTGACATTAAAAGACGAGCTTATCGGCTTCAAGGTTTGTCGCTGGACGACTGGGCTCACGGTACTAGGTAAAATACAACATACATTTCTTAATTACAATTACTATTAGAATAACATTTAATTTGGATTATAAGGCTCTGTGACCAACAGGTCTATTGCTTTCGTTACTTGATTGCTATCATAAAACCTACGATAGAGTATTAGAATAGTGCGAGCTCACCCGTCCAGCGCACACGACATATAATTGACAATATTCATTCTATATTATTCAGATATTACTGTTTTACATACAATGTTCATCACCACTTATCACAATGTTATTGCTTTTCGGATACACACATCTACTACATTCTCCAACAAAATATATCACAATGAATAAAAATACTTTTACATTATCATTTTTCGAATACGTAACTCGAGCGAAGTATAACGTGAGAGTGAATACAAAAACAGAAGACATTCATGAGAGTTCTTGTCAGTCTTAAATCTTCGAAAAATGACGTTACATATAATGTCGAATGGAATTCCTAGGATATGAATACGAAGCCCATATTCCAGCATAAATTATAATAATACACAACAGTATTGGTACTGTCTGCGCCTCTGTCAGACGTGATAATAAAAACAAAATCACAAACACATGCTTGTTAGAGCGTAAGCACACACAACACAACCGGTTTGTTAGTAACTAAATGACGATATACATTGATCATCAACTCTTAATACCGATATATCCATAAATTAACCTAGCGTAATAAATAACCAAATTGGAAGATCTATCGCAGTTGCATTCTGCTGTATGTATCGACCGAGACACAGAGAAATACGAAACGAGTGAAGTGTAAGTAGACGACGATGTTTAAGCGAAAATATTTAACCAAACATTCCACTACCACCGACAAATACCGTAAACGAGTTAAATTCGGAAGTCAAACTAGATAAAACCTAATAAAAATACAAAAATAATAAACCTAACACAAATGTACAGAGTAGAGTTCAATAAAATAATACTGTATCACTACTGCAATCAGCAATATTAGTGGAGATATAGAACTGTCCTATGATTGCTTGCGGCTGCTAGTCCGGCTTACACAAGCAGGATAGCAATCAAAGTAACAATCCTTCGCACTGAGATGTATTCCTCAACAATCGGTTTGCACTAAACCAACGACCCACTTATTCCTTGTAAACCAGCGTCGAACACGATACTGTCAATTTTAATATATTTCTAAATAAATCAAAATTGTTTACAATCCAAAAAAAAATATCCGCATAAGTAGGTATTTGTTAATTTCTGAAAATACTATCACTCCTAACGACAATTTAAAAAATATTTCGCCACAATATTCGGTCACAGATATACTCTTAGAAAAATAAACACACCCTAGTTCCTATATCAAGATCAAGATGGATAAATTGAATTTCAATTTTAATATCATCGTAGAGAGAGCTAAAGTTTAAATAGAGAGCGAAACACTTTTAGTTTTACGTACACTACGGCTCATCAAGAGTATGATTGAACCATTATTGTCCAGGTAGACAGCTACTCCGACACAAACTAGGCGTAGGCAATACTAACGGTACAATACACCGACAACTATACAGTGATCCCAATAAGAATGAATAAATAATCTCAATTTTAAAGCTTTTAAATACGATAAGCTTGACGTAACGTTGAAGGTTAGCTGCAACAGAATCACACGTTCGAATGTCTCAGCTACGTTACAGCGGAGGTTGTCTAGCTAAGTATATCACAATGTCTCATAGACTGCTGTATTTTACTGGCCCGTGGGGTTTCGATAATTAAACGAACTAACACTAAATTAAGTAGAGACGTCAAGTAAAGGACGGTGACAGAGTTCACAGCTAAATAAGTCGAATGGAAGCAATAACAAAACAGCCCAGTTCAAGGTACAGATAACGTAAATGCTTTCTGTTATAAATAAACACAGAACACTGACCATCATGAGGTGAATCCGGTACATTTTAAATCAAATATAATGCCACGACGTTTCTGTTAAATGGTTGCTTCTAACGCTTAACGACCACAAATGCCCAATATCATAAATTGATTGAAAATATAATTCTTAAAATAAATCTTTTACTTATGTTATGACGTACATATATCTATTTTAATAATGCCAAAGTTACAGGTGTTTACTGTTTATTAGTAATATATAAAGGCAACATCATCATAATCACTATGTTAATGAGAATGTATACATACTATCGTAAGTACACCACAGATTAGTGAACTATTTATGATCGAAACTTTTTACATTAGGAATTTGCTAAAATTCAAGCAGGCAATGTTGAAGCGCGGTAAATAAAATATTTATTCATTAAATATTTAATATAAATCCAAAGGTCATTTTTTATATTTATTATTTACCAACCCTACGGTATTAATGTATCCTAGACTTTTCATTAATCCAGAATCATTTTGCTTGTTATTATTGCTTCTTTTCATTTTGTTACCTTATCTTAAAAAAATACTCGACAGAAAAAAAATACTTACATTGTAAATACTGACCGAAATGGGAAAATAAATTAGACACTTATAATTTACTGAATTTAAGAATTACAACTACTACGTAAACAATAAAATTTACAATATGACCTAAAACTAAAAGAATACTTGCGTCCTGCAATAGGTAACCGTAAATATAATTTCAATAATATCAAAGAGAGCATTCTAAGGCAAGGCTTACTATAATAGTGTCATTATCTTTTTGAGGTTTATAATTACAGATCGAAATCGGCGTCTGTGCGAAACTTCAGCGAACAAACCCGAACAGTTTATTACACACGACTGCTGGAAGTGTCCTCTCCAAGCTGCCATCACAAATTGCACGATGCGTACCATGCATGACCCACAATCATACATATCACAAGTTAAGAAAAATGTACACACGGAAAGTACTCTTACGTGAACCATTCAATGTGCTACCATTTTCATTCCTATACATTAAGTAGGCACTAATACAATCAATGTATATTGTTTCCCGCGACCAAATCACGAAATTATGCGTAATGCCCTGGTTTTGTATATTTTAAATCGTATTCCTATTGTTAGATGCTGAACAAAACATTGTCGACTACGCATCAGAAATGCGTTAGTGAAACACATTATACAACTATTTTCAATTTCAAATTACGTTGTCGACAACGTTCGCCCCATCATAAACCCCTACTATGTTATTCCACACTTCAACCGGTCGCATGACATAATATTTAAGAAGCCAAACATCATTGAGTGCTACGTGAGATTCTATTATGAAAAAATGTATGTCTTCTATAAAAATAATTCACATTTCAATATTACGACCGGGCGAAAGGGATGAACATTTTAATATATTCCCCTCTATTGTCATCAAACACTGGCCTGAACTATCACTAAATAGATATTTAGTACTATATAATATGAAGAATGTTATTATTGCATGTATACTTATACTCTATTCACTTTATATTGCTTTTCGAGCGAATGTTTCTGTGATTGTTAGACACAAGAGTAATTAGTGTGCCTTGCTTGTGTGAAACATTCATAGGAACATCGTAAATTGTAGAGAAGCTATTGATACAGAATATACACGCGATGCTGTAAGGGAACAATGTGTGGGTGTGACGAGACTGACGCGTCGCCGCGGCTATGGCGTCCGTAGCGAGTGTATCACAGAGGGCAGTCAGTGAGTCTCTTCCGTGGCGGCGACGTGGCTGGCGACCAGGTTTAGGGGTGCTTCGTCGTACTCTGGGGCGCTTATACCCACCTGCGGTTATACGGTTCCCGAGTTTAGTATGATTCTGTTCAATGGGCAATGGTGTAATAGGGAAAGGCATGTAGTATAGATGAGTGCGGTACCTGGTCGTGTCGGTGCGCGGGGCGCGAGGTCCGCGCGTGCAGCGCGGCCAGTAGGTGGGGCTGCAGCTGGCGGCGCAGCGCCTGCAGCACGGCCTCCTCCGCGGCCTCGCCCCCGCTGCCCGCGCCCTCGCCCGCCTCGCACGCCGCGCCCCCGCCGCCGCCGCCACCGCCGCTACGACGGGATTCTGCAACGATACCAACTTCACTTACACACAGACAGCTCGAGGATTGGAGGTGGAGCAGGT